AGCCTGGTGCTCCCACGGAGGAGGGGGCAGGGAGAGCTTGGAAACACTTAAATGGCAAAAAGTGTGGAAAAGGGACGGACAGAGAGGCCAGGATGTTTAAGGTTTGTTTTTAATCCCTGCCAATGAATTCCCGTCCTGTGCCAAAACTGAAGTAAAACGGCTTTGATCTAAAACGGAGGAGAAAAAACACATGCACAGATTCTTGGCTTCTTCAAACAATACAGATGACAAAGGAGGGAACGGCAGTGAAAATTAGCTCTGCTGATGGTGACATTTCAAAATGCCAAATAAAGAGGGGGGGTCAATGAGGAAACAATAATCACACACATCTATGCATCGCAGCATCGCTGGGCACACATCCCGCCCTCCCTAAGCAGCCACTGATGCTTTACACCAGTCTCTATTCACCCATTTATCAACTCTGTAGGTTTCCATGGCCAGGAGCAGGGCTTGGGGCTGTGCAGGGCTCCAGATGTGACCCTGCAGCCCCCCCCTGTGCAGTGCCAGACCTCCCAGCTCTGAGCTGGCCTCTCTCCTCCTGTTTATACACCCGGCCCAGGGGTCCTGGTGCTCCCGTAACCATTGCCAGATGCCATCTGGTCTCGCTCTTCATCCCACCCCAGTTCCATCAGCTTCCAGCTCCCTCCTGACCTCCCTCCCAGCCATTCCAGGCTGGAGCAGGGATGTGCACTCCATTATGTGGAGTTAATGCTATTAGAATCTATGTCAGTCCCTGGATTAAGAGCAGGACTATGGTGCTGCAAGGATCTCTGCACAGGATACAACCACCCAACCCCATATGCATGAGCAAACTGTGGAATGGAGGTGGCTGACTACTGGTTTAAGCATCCTCTTAGAAGCAGAATACCCCCACCCCCCCATTTTAGAAAGCCATCTGACTCCAGCAAATAAGGGGTATGGTAGAAGCAGGGCTCACAGCCCATCCTCAACACTTCCCTGCCACACTGAAAGGTGCCAGACATGGAGCAAGGCCAGTTTGTCGGGATAAGGACATGTAGCGCACAAGGATGCTCCTCCTGACCCTCTGCAAGGGAGCTGGGAAAGCCCATCCAGAAGATGCTCTCTTCTTGGTGTTAGTTATCCACGTATACCCATAACCTTGGTGTTAGTTATCCACAACAGCAATGCTTGAGATGCTCCCAAGTGAGCCTCAATTTTGTCCTGCTTTCAACCAACATACCCACAAAGGAAAAGAGAAACAAATAGTCCCAAGCAGCCAGTGAGAGCACCCTGGTGTGATGGGAGAACACCTCCAGGGAGGATGTAGCTCTTGCTGGGGACAAATGCCACCCTAGTATAAATCCCAACCCAAGGGAAGTGGCAGAGGAGTAAAGAGGCACAGAGATCAGCCTATGGACATGAAGTCATTAAGAGGCTGGGCTGGAGATCCAAACCCTCTTCTCTGAGCTGCTCTATCCACAGGGCTGGATCCACCCATCCATCCATCCATCCATCCATCCATCCATCCATGGCTGGATGTGGGAGGTCCAGGGAGGGATGGGACAGCGCTCTGCATCCCTGCAAACCCCTCCTGCACAGCCTCTGCCCCTCCACTGCGTTCCCACGCAGCAGGGCTCTATTTATAGAGACCTCAGCCGCTAAGTATAGACCAGCAATCAAAACAAAGGGAGGCAAACGCTCTGCACTTGCCACTCTCTGGCTCCATCCTCTCATCCCAGCCCTGGATGTGTGGGAGCTCCCATACCTCAACCAAAAGCCTCCCAAACCATCCCAGCACTGGTTTTGCTCATCATCCTGGCAGGGGTTTCCCTTCATCCCTGCAAGTGAGAGCACCATCCCTCCCAGCCCAGGCTGCTCCTCCATGGGCTGAAGACCTAGACAGGTTCAGTATCAAATATGAAGTGCCAAAGATGGCTCTTTCACCTCCATAACAAGTCTCTGGGTGCCTTTGGCTTGGCTTATGTGTTTTGGCAGGCTTTAATCTCGCTCTCCATGCAACAGGGAATAAGGGAACATGGGGAAAACCAAGGGAGTGCCACAGGACTGGGGAACACACAGAGACAAACGTCCTCAGACACTCGCAATGCATGAGCCTGTCCCTGCCTCTCTGTAACCCTCTTTCCTCCCTTCCCTCAACTCAATGCAGGAGTGGGTTTGCCATCCTCCAGCTGAATCACCTGGCCCTGCACGGGGGTAACTGCAGCAGCTCAGCATGGGAAGGCAACCCCAAGCAATCACACGATCCACATCCAGCCGTGGTTGGGAGGGAGGAATTTCTGCACGTCCGAGCAAGCTCGGCTTAGCCAGGGCTCGGCAGAGCTGGGAAGGGCTCCTGGCATCCTCCCCGCAGACGGGAAAGGGATGGGATGTGCTCTGCTTGGCATTCCCAAGGAGGAACAGCACCCGGAGTGAAAGAGGGAGACCTCGAGGGGGGCACATCTGGCAGCTCAGGCTGTGTCCAAGGGGACTGAGGTCCACATCCTGTGCATGCTCTCCCCATTCAAACCACTGTGCAGAACTGGTCTGTTTTCAGACTGGAAATAGGATGGATGGATGGATGGAAGGTGGCCAAGCAGGAGAACAGACTCAGGACTGGCTCAGGGACACGGGTAGCTCTCAAGAGGAAGCTGGGTGCCAGTAGAGTGGCTGGTGCCTACTTGTCCCACCTTTTACTAAGGCTTTCTCTATTCAAACCACTCCAACACCAAACATGAGTAAGTCTGGAAGGGACTGGGGCTCCCCTCCTGAGCCCACCTCTCTTGCTTTTAATAGGAGCAGAAATTGCCCAATCCACAAAACCCACGTCTGAGAGGTTCAAGGCACAGCAATCCCATAGCTGGGAGGTCTGCAGCCAACTGCTGCCTGGCTCCCATCACGCTGAGGGGGCTGCCCCTGTGCAGAAGCCCCCATGGGATCCCTCATCCCATAGGGATGTGCTTGCGGACAGCCTCAGCCGGGTACCACCAATCCCCTCCAGTGACCCCCAGCACTCAGCCATCACAACCTCATGCTGTGGGATGTGGGCAGTGAGTCCCAAACCCACTGGAGCTGTGGCACTCTGAGCCATGCTCTTGCCCTGCCTGGTGGGAAGCCAATGTGCTCCACTCCGGGCACACAGGGAGTGAGCTCGGCCCTGCCACAATGGACAGAGCAAGGGCATCATGGGCTGCTGGAAGGGGCCCTGCTCCTGCCAGCCAAGCCATGCTGGCACCCGATGCACAGGGATCAAGGCCTGGTGGTTTGGCAGAAAACAGCTTCCCCAAGGTCAAGCACAGGACATGCCCCAGGACAAGTTCCCACATGCAGAAGATGGTCCCTGTCTCTGGCATTCCTCACTCCCCATCCCCAGCCCTGCTCCTGCATGGGCTGAGCAGCAACAAAACCTTCCCTTTCCTCCTGCTCAGAGGCTTTTCCTCCTGCCCCAGCCCAGCTTCCATGTTTAGGGATGCTCCAATGCAGATGGAAGGGGCTGGGGCAGGCTGTGCCCAGCTATGGCCAGGCAACACCTTTAACAGAGCTGGTGCCCACAGCAGTGTGGATCCCACACAGAGATGTGCTCAGGAGAAAGGTCAGGAGGGTATTTTTACACCATGTGTCAGACCCCAAGGAGGAGGAGGAAGGAGCTGAGACCATCTCCTCCATCTATGGCTATAGCAAGGCCAGACCAAGCTCTCCTGCCCTCCTCCCGTGGGACCACAGGGAGTCCCAGTGCCCCATCCCAGCAGCGCTCTGCTGGGTCAGAGCTACATCAGGAGGCTGGAGGGGTGCAGAGCAGCAGCCAAGGAGAGGTCCAGCATGGAGATGCATATCACACTGCTCAGCACACTGACCCACACTGCACATGTGCACGCTCTCTTTTATGTATGGCTTTTCCCACTTTTTCAAAGGGAAAAAGCCCAAGAGGTGCCTGGAGAATTGCAGGATGCTTTCCTTCTCCTTTGTGTGCTCTCAGCAATGATCCCCTGTGGTGCCAACGAGGCTGGATCGCTCCCCATCTGCTCCGGCCCTGGGGCAGATCAACCTCCTCGGGATGCAAAGCACCAGTATCACAAACTATGCTTCCCAGCATCCTTGCACCTCTACCTCGAACTGGGGCATCTCCCTGCTCCAACCAGTCACACAGAGCTCTCCTTATCAGACATGAAACACCAGGTTACTGAAACACTAAAAACATATTAAAAGCCTCCGCTGCTCCTTCCCGAGCCATTTCAATTATTCAGGACACTTGGATCAACCCCAAGGAATAAACACAAAGCACCAAGGCCTGAAACTCGAGCAGCGCTCGCTGTGCTGCTGTGCCCCATTGCACGGTGCCCTCACAAAGGCATCAGAGGAGGACCAAGGCACCTCCCCACTGCAGACACAGGTCCCCACACGTCCCTGCCCCACATCCCAGCACGCCTGGCTTCCCGAGCCTCCCGCCCAGGCACATCCCAGCACATGGGGTGTGCTGGCACACGCAAACATAGGCAACCTCCCATGGGTTTGTTGCAGGCAGGAGGATAAAACCACTGGGATCATGGGCTCTGCTTTGCAGCTTGCAGCAGATGGGGTTCCCTTCCTTTCAGCTCCCTGCTCTGTTTTACAAGGGGAGCAGTGCTGGTGGTGGGCCGCAGCTCCAGAGCAGGCAGCAGGAAGGTGTTCCAGCTGACCTACTTTCCATGGGCATCAGTAGGCAGGGCACTGCCAAGGTGATTCACCATCACCAATCCCCAGCTGGCACCAAGGATCAGGGCAGAAAAGAGGGAAGACAACCTTGAGGATGCCCCTAGTGCTCCCTACCAGTGTGGGATCTGTCAGCAACAGGATCCCAATCCCATGCCAAGTGGGACCCACATGGCTCCAAACCCCAATATCCTCCATAGACCATCCATGCAAACCCAGCCTAGCTTTAAGTCAAGCCCAGCAAGCACAACTCTTCACTGGTTTGAAGAGACCTCCCCATTCCCTGTGCCAGAAGCATCACTCCACGAGCAGCAGAGGTTGATCCCCACATGCACCTCCATGGCAGCACTCACCATCTCGTCCAGGGCATAGCGCAGCAGCCCGTGCTCGTAGAGGATGAAGAACCGACGCTGCCATTTCTGCAAGGGAAGGCAACAAAGGTCACAGCAGTGCCCACCAAGCCCTGGGCCTCGCCAGGGCCACAGGAGCTGCACATCAGAAAGCCAGGGCAGAGAGAAAAGGCACCAAAATGCCTTTGTGGTAGGGACTTGTGAGAACAGGGGACAAACTCAGGTCTCACTAAGCAGCAGAACACAGACCCCAAGTTGGCCTTGTTTAACCATACAGGAGACAAAACCCACCAGCTTCTAGGCTGGAACCAGGCATCTCCTCCTCCTCCTCTCCCAGAGGATGCCCACAAGCTCTGTCACCGCTCTCCAAGAGACCTGCAGAACTAAGTGCTCCCAGCCCTCAGCTTCACCCTGTGACATCTACTCCATCACCCAGCGCTGCAGGGGGACAGGCTGTCACATTCCATGCCCCCCAGCAGGGCATGAGCTCAATTTGAATGGTGACTGCCCCTCCTTTGCCCAGGCCCTGCCTCCCCTGGCACTGCTGCTTCTGCAGCAGAGCAGATTGGAGAACTGATCTGGCTGGAAAACTGCCCTTTTTTTCTTTCCCCCTTATGTGCCAGGTTGTTTTCAGCCAAGAGCACAAACTGGTTGAACAGGCTGAAAGGAAAAAGGCCCCAGATTCATAGCCCCAGTGCAGCAATTCTTATCTTGCTTTTCTCAGCCCTTCGGGCAAAGTCCAAGGTACTCAGGGACAAGCAGAACTCCCCAGGACCCTGCAGACCTCCACAAGACCCAGCCTCTGCTCTAGCGGGGACCAGAGTCCCATGTCTCCTTAATGGAGGGCCAGCAAGCCTGCTATTAGCTGTGACTGCAAACCATGCCCCACATACCCCAGGCTGAATCAGAACCCTGAGTTCAGCTCCGAGAGCATTTTGGCTGCATGACAGAGGGTTCACGGGCCATTGCCATCGCTCCCATGCTCAAAACAGCCCTGTCCTGGTGGCCTCAGCAGCCAGTTCCCTGGAAGAGCAGCCCGGGGACAGGCTGCGAGTCCTTGTCACAAGCCAGCAATGAAAGGATTTCAGCCTGGCCTCTTATTTCTGGGGCTCATATATCCCCCTAGGGCAGGAAAGTGGGGATGCTCTGCAAGGCACAAGCAAACCCCTTTGGGCAGGAGCTGAGTGTGCTTCGTTTTGCTGCCAATGCACTCAGCTTCAGAGCTCCATAAGGTTACAGCAGATAGGAATCACCTCTCAGCCCCTTCCTTGCTGCAGGACCTGACACAGAGGTATCCACGTCAGGAGATGGGATGCGGCCTCTGGGCATGCCCATGATGAGCTGCAGCAAATAAAGGGAAACTGGGTGCCTTGCTGATGGTCCCAGCACAGCTTGGAGCCTCACAGCCCACACTCTGTTGGCCTGAGAGCCTTCCCAAGCAGCATGGCACGTGTCAGGCCAACCAGAGCATCATCAAGCATCAAAAAGCAACGGCAGCAAGCAGTAAAGCTGCACAGGAGCACTGAGCCTGCCCAGCACAGGAGACCTTGCATCCCAGAGCAGGCATTTGAACCTTGCTGCAGGAAACCTCTCCCAGCTTCCTGGTTTGCACAAGAGGACAGATGCATGGAGGTGCCTGCAGCACTCCTGGGGCAAGGATAGGAACTCACTGCTCCTCCTGCCATCCCTACCCGCGGCACAGGGAGAGAGTGTTTGGCTTTGCTTACCCGGGAGCGATGGACAGGGTTGTCAAAGTCCGTTCCTTCCGGGGCCAGCAGCAGCCAGCCACCATAAATGGGTTTGGCCTGCAAAGAAACAGCAGAGAAACACGTCAGGCATAGAGGAAACCAAGCTCACCATGGAACAGCACCACTATGGGAAACGCTACCAGACCCTGGCGTGAAGGCAGCTCCATGAGTTCGCCGGCAAACTGAGCCCTGACCCTGATGCTTGATGGAAACCTTATATATCCCATTTGCAGACAGGACTGAAATGAGGACTTGGGATGAGGTAAAACCCCAACCCCAACCTCCAATCTCAGCTCCTTCGGCATCATACCAAGAGCACCAATCTCCCTAGCTCATCCTCACTCACAACTCTTCCCCTCGCCATCAGCGGCGTGCCTCTACTCCACAGCAAAAACACACTCCCAAGGAGAGCTCCATGTTTTCCTTCTGTTAATTAAGAGAGGACAAACTACCCATTGCTGGCAGTTCTCCAGCTCGCAGCCACTTCCCTTGCACTGCACATCCCACCCCGCTGCCAGCCCGCTCCTCCCCATCAGCGGCTCCCAGCACGCAGGAAGGTCAGAGCCAGGCAGAGGGGAAAAACAGCTCATTCAACCGGGCCGGGAAGAGAAAGGGAAAGAATACCCGGAAAGGAATGCCTTCCAGCACCATTTATCAGTGGAACAAAACAACCAGGCTCTTTCCGCCAGTGCTTTGGGCATAGAAGCACACACAGAAGTGAGCACAGAGCAGGGAACACTACGGTGAGGGATGGGATGGGCACTAGGCATGTTCTCCCCTCAAAATCCTATAGGCACCGCTCCTGCTGCAAACTATTAGCCAACCCCATTCCTGGCAAGGGCTGGGGCCAAATCCTGGTGCAAGAGTGGGAAGGCATTGCCACACCACTGAGGTACCAGGAGTGAGGAAACCAAGGGCAGATCCAGCTTCAGGAGCAGGGACATTGCTTCCCACCATGACACATCCACGCTCACCCAGCAACAAGGACCCACGTTCCCAGCTCCTCTTTGGCTATTCTGGTTGCTTCCATTCTTTTTCCTTTCTGAAACCTCCCTGAGATTCCTCCTGCCAGTTTCTGTGGTTTTGTAATGTTCAAAAGTTTCCCCTCTGGAAAAATCCCTGCGAACAATAGAAGAAAGTGCCTATGCACCAGAAACTGTCAAACGCATGAAGCACTGAGTAAGCAAACTGGAAACAAGCCGGAGGAGCCCTTTTAGTGTTCATGAAGTGAAAAGAAACAACAGAATCTCTTCTCCCAACCCTCCCCAATGTGGTATCTCAGCTTTAGGTGTTGCTCTGCCAGCAGCTGGGAAAACATGATTTGAGATCTTCCTTCCTTCCCCCTCGCTTTAAAGGGGATTAAAAACAATGGAGGGCTGGGAATGGAGGAGCTGGCCTGAGGCACCCCTGCACCCGCCTGTTCCCACAACCACCACCAGCCTCACCCCCACCCCAAAGCCCTCCCTGGGTTTGGTGTCACCCCCTTGCTCACCTGGGTGCTGATGCCCTGCTCGCCCATGGCCCCCATGGCACCACCGGCTCTGTGCCCAACCCATGTCCGGTGGGATGAGCCATGCTCCGCCACTCCCCCCGGCACACCCCGGCATCCACCCGCCCCGTGCCCCCACCCAAAGGTGCCCGTGACGCACCCCGTGCCCACGCAAGGGGAGGACTTTGGAGCTGAGGCTCCCACCGCTCCCCACGGTGCAGGGATGTGGCTGCAGTCACTTGTGTGGCCTTGGCAGGGACGCCTGCAATGGCCTTGCCCTGATTTCCCTTCTGGTTTATAAGGGAAAAGGCAGTATTCCAAGTCACTCACCAAAGGTGAGCCAGCAGAGAGGTGGGAAGTGCCTTCAGTGGGTCACTGTAGCGGGAAAAGGGGTCCCCAAATGCACTCACAGTGAGCCCTGAGCAACCAGCCCTGATGCTTGAGAAGATATTGTGAGCAGTCTCCATCACTCAAGAACAAGAGGATGTCCACGCAAGCAGGACACAGCATTCCCAATGCTCGGCACTGCCACACTAAGACAGCACGCTCAGGGGTGATGCTATGGGCAGCCGAGCTGCCTGTAGGGCTCAGACCTTCCCTGTCCCCCTCTTTTCCCCTCTGCACACAGCCAAACACTCAACCCACAAGCAAAATCTCTTCCCAACACAAGCCACAGCACCGCAGCTCTCCCAGCAAGACCACCCCAAGCATCATCCCACTGCACCCCAGCACCATCCATCCCCAGTGTGACAGGCAGCAGGCAAATCCCAGTGCCACACCAGGGCCACATACCAGTGAAACCCAAACAGGGGACACCAAACTGGGTCGGCAGCAAGCAGCCTTAACCCAGTATTGCAGGTGTGAAACCCAGTCCTAGCTCAGCCTGGCTCACAGCCCTCAGCAAACACTATTTTACCCTCAACCACTCCACTTTTGGCTCAACTGACTATATATAAAGCATTGAGCACCTGAAATCCATGCCCTTAACACCAAGCACAGTCATTTCTTTGCTGCTGTCACAAAAAAGCACCAGTGGGCTATACTTATTTCAGCAGAAGAGTCCAATTTCAGATTCTGACACCAAAATAGCTGAAAGGCAGGAATCCGAGCCAGGCAGCGTGGGCAGCCCAGTTCCACCCACCAACACATGAACACACAGCAGTGCTGTTTAAAGCCAACCCAAAACAAGCTCCTGCTAAAACCAAGCCCAGAGAGGTACAAGCCTAAATAAAAAGGGATGTCTGAAATAACCCCATCACACCTGCATTGGAATGGCCTTGCTGAAGTGAGGCTTAAAATAAACCTGCTTGAAGCTGCTGTGGGAGGCAGGTCTTGGGGGGGGGGGGGGGGGGGGTGTTGCTGCACCAGGATGGAGCTGGAGCCTTGCATTGCTTCACAGCAGAGAGCTCAGCAAGAGGAGGAAAATGCAACGCTCAGCACTAGGAGCTCAGAGGGAAAACTTCCCTTGTCCAAGCAGATCCGTCCGACCTCACGCTGTGCATTAGAGCAACCCCAAGGTTCTTTGCCAACCACCTCCCACAAGCTCCAGAGAGCAATCCCAGGTGGTTCTCCCCCAACCACACGGGATGCTCAGACAGCTTTGCCTTTATCCAGACTGTACCTGGCCGAGGGGTGAGCCACAGACCGCCATGGAAAGCAGAGCAGAGGGCAGCTGGTGTGGAGCATCCACTGGGGTGGGGTGACGCTCGTGGGGCGGGCAGGAAGAGGAGAGCCGGTTCCTCTGGCACAGCTCGCGGTGACGAAGCCAACCCCTCACCATGGCCTGGGCTGGGAGGTGCTGGAGCTGCTGCCTCGCTGCTCCGGGGGAGATGTGCACCTCTCGCCACCCAAAAGCAGGGATACAGGCACAGCGCCTTGCAGGGGGAGCAGGAGGTGGGAGGTGAGCTTGGAGCCCCACAGTGCCTGGTTGTGTCCTACCCTATGGGATCAGCAGAGGCTGACTCAGACAGAAACACCCTTTCGCCATCGCTCCGCTTCCTGTCGCACCTCTGGGAACGCCCAGGTCTCCCATCCCGCCTCTGATCCTGCCTGGCCTTGCTTAGCTTTGGGATGGGCCCCCATCCTGCTGCTCCGCAGCCCCTCACCTGCCCCTCAGGTCGCTGCCCCACCGAGCCCTGTGCTGCATTAAGGGGAGGATGCTGCCTCCAGCTGAGCACCCCAGGCTGGTGCTGGAGCACGGAGAGTGGGAAGGAAGCAGAGAAGGAAGCGGCCCCAGCTCGGTTTACACAAAGCTGTCAGGCTGCTGTGCTGATGCTGCCCAGGCATGGACAAACCACCCCAGGCAGCTCCACCAGCACTGGGAACGTGATTCCCAGCAGCTGGGGGTCTGGGCTTAAAGGGATATGCAGAGGCACACAGCATTTCCCAAAGCACAGGGTGATGCAGGAACCCCTGCACATCCCCAGGGCAGAGAAGGCACAGTCACCTCCTTCCAGTGGGCAGGATGGGGCACAAGAACATGATAGCCCAGAGGTGGGCTGTGACACCAACCAGCATCACTGGACAGGCTGTCACATCTGCTGTGCTTGGTGGTGGTACCTTCACCTCTTCCCTCCTCCATGCGCACCAGTTGGCCATACAACATCCTACAAGAGCTCACTGCACAAAGCAGAACAGGAAAGCTTTACTGACAGCCACGTAGAATCATGGGATAGTTAGGGTTGGAAAGGAAATCGAGATCATCTAATTTAGGGTCCAGATTCAGCCCCATGGCACAGCACCCACATCCCTGTTAGGGTGCTGGGGATGCTCCCACAGCCAGCCCTTTACCCATCCCAATGTGCTGTGAGGAAAGCCCGCATCCATGGCTGGGAGAGAGCCCTGGCTGGGAACGCGTGGCGGGAGGGATAATCTGTTTAGGCTGCCGGCAGACGTAATGAGCCTGTCTCGGGTGGAGGCAGGGCTTGTTTTGCTCAGGCTTGGCAATGGAGTGGGAAGAGTGGGGTTGGGAAATGGACTGCTGCAGCAGAACTTTAGCCTCTGCCTCCCAGCACTGAATGCAGAGAGCCCTGGGCACTGGGGAAGCAGTAGCCCCATGAGAAAATGATGTCCTCAGCCTGGTCCAGGCTGTGGGTGAACACATCGTGCATCCCACCCCACCACCTTTATGGCTTCAGTGCCAACAGTCACCAAAGGAACCGCTCTGAAAGCAGCCCACTGCAACGGGGTCCCAGCTCTCACCCAGACCCATAGGAAAGCATAGGGGACAGTAAGGTCCTAGTCCCTTGTGCACCACCTCCTGAACCACTCAGGGCTCCCCAGAGGTAGGGATCTGTTTGTGACACATCTCAAAGGGAAAGTTCACTGCAAACGCTGTGGCTGCAACCTCAAAAGAGGAAATCTGGGACATTTCCGCTCCACTCTCGGTTTTGCGCACCTTGGAGCCAGGGAGAACATCGCTGACGGGTGAGTCGGAGCTGCTGTCACCTAGCAGGAATGGGGAAGGTGACGTGGTGCTGAGGGAGGGAATGGGATGCCATACCCAAGCAGGCTTTCCTGCTCACGGCACAGCTTCTAGGAACTGAGAGACAGGCACTGCATGCTCCCAGCAGGATGCCCCATGGACCATTAGAGCCCCAGTATCCCAGATCCCCCTCTCCATCCACCTCCTGCTCTCCTGCAGAGCCACATTTACACAGCACAAGTGAGGGCATGAGCTGGCTGCTGCTGAAGCTGCAAATCACCAGGTCAGGCTTCCACCACCAACACACCTCAATGTGCAGGAAGAGACCAAACCAGACCGGACAGGCTGGACCTGGGGTGCGAGCAGCACAAGGTGACACTGCCATGGGGTGGCTGATGGGCATCATGCATAGCACAGCTCTCTCGGCACCCCAACAACCAACCCTCACCCTGCCATCAGCAAACCCCAAAGGAAAAGAGCTGCCTGGGCAGCGTGTGGGCAGCAGCAGAGACCGACTGACCGGAGGAACAGGAAGGGGAAAGGTTGCATTCACCCTTTGTGCAAACAACCAGTCTCCAGCAAACACCTTGGCCCTGGGGCTGTGCTTGCGTCCGAGCGCTGCCATAAGCTTGGGAGCTGGAGCTGGAAGGGGCCGGCTGCGGCGTGCACGGGCAATTTGTCAAGCAGCAGCAGCAGCAGCAAGATGGGAGTAGGAAGGAACAGGCTCTGCAATCCCAGCTCCTCGCTCCTTGAGCAGCCCCACAGCCCGGCGTGCCCCGCAGCGAGCAGGCGTATCTAACCACCTCCCACGACGGGCTCCCGCAGCGCCTGGGAGAAGCCACAACATCTCTCTGGAGCGCTGGAGAGGGGATTTATCACTTCCTCGGGTGCCAGAGCAGATAAGGTGCGGCGCCATGCAAAACACACAGCAGCAAGGAAGGGTGCGAAGGAGACGGCTCTCCAGCACCCAAAGGCCCTTCCCTTGGGTCACAGCGAGGGTTAAGGGCACCCAAAGCCCAGCCTGGCATCCAACGTGACATCCCTGCCCTCCAAGGGTGGAACGCTGCCCATTCCCCATGACTCTTCCCACCCCAAACCCTCTGGCCATGCCCCCCAAGTCCCCATGGGAGGCGGGTCTGACATTTGCAGAGAATCTCCCCCTGTTTGGTCCTAATAATCAGGCAAGTACAGGCGGATTTTTGCAGCATGATACAACAGGGAGCAGGGAATGCAAGAGCGGGGGCTGCTTCCAGCAAAGAGGGGGCTTTTCCTTCCCCAAAGAGCAGGGAACAGAAGCAGAAGCATGCCCGGGACATGATCCCTCACCCTGCTGCCCTTTGGACAATGTCCATAGCCAGGGTAAAACCCCAGCCCAGGGCATCGCAGCCCCATGGATGCAATGCCCCAGCCTCAGGGCTGTCCAGCATCCAGAACAGTAGGAAAGTGATAATGTCCAATGGAGGAGAGCTGGAAATAACCACCCCCAGCAGGGAGCAGGGGCATCACGGGTTGGGAAGAGGCAGTGGGAAAAGCCTGCGAGCTCCATTTTCTAACTGGGTGGTCCTCTGGGCATCCATGCCATGATCTCCAAAAGGAAAGGAGGGGAAAAAAAAGGCCCTGGTAGCTGGAAAGACGTCCTCACATTCCTCTATCTGTGCCAGTCCCCATGCCCCGAGAGAGCACATGCATGGAGCAAATTAAAAGCAACTGCTTTACGCTCTGCTCTTCTTCCAGTCCAGGCCAAGCGGGGTTTTGGGGTGAATTCCCAGCCTCCTCCTCCTGTTGTGTGTGGGGGGCTTCATCTTCTTTATGAGCCAAAGGCATGTGCACACAGGTCCAGGCCAGCTGGTGTGGAGAGTGGGGACCCCTCGGGGACCCGCATGGACCTGCAGAGCCGTGGGTGGCTTCCTTGGGAAGAGGGTCCCAATGAACTGGTTTTGATCTGGAAGTAGAAGGGAGTTGCAGGGAACCATCTGTATTCCTAGGGCAGGCTCTGGGAAGCTGACCTCCCCATGAGGTCTGCAGGGTGTTAAAGGGGACGGTGCGGTGCCAGCACAGGCACACCTTGCCAGGAAAGAGGGAATTCCCAGGAACAGGGAATGTCTCCCTTGCCGGGAAAGGGGCAGCACAAGGTGAGCTGGTGAGTGAAGCAGCCGGGACAGAGCCATTAACAGCACTGGATCTACTAGGGACCACAGGCCTCATCCTGCACACAGATCAGACCCATAGGAACATCAGGGGTTGTTCCTACAACCACAGCAACACATTGTCCCAAAGGGGAAGCAGACACAGTGCTGGCATGCACCCCAGGAGGTCAAACACAGGTTGGGATTGGGGGGGAGATGGAGGGCACAACACCTCCCACCTACAGCCCCATAGGGGCCAACCGGAGCTCCGAGAGGTAGCAGGACCACACGTAGCTGCCCTAAGTCACACCGAGCCCCAAAGGGCAGCACAGCCACACACAAAAACAACTCGTGAACACAGCGCTCCCGGGATTAGGGACTTAGCGTCCACACAGCCCTTTGAAGTTGGAAGTGCTAAGTCTGATTATTATTAGAGAGCTCCAGCTCATTAATCCTGATGTTTGGAGCTGGATTTCCCTCTCCCAGCCCCGTTCCTAATGCCGAGTACAACGGGAATCCATTCCTCCCATTAAATATTGGTGACAAACACACGCTGGGCTCCAGGAAGAGCAGGAGAAGCAGCTCTGACACCAACACAGGTATCTTGATGCCATAAAAAGCCAAAAGGGACCCGAGTACGTAAGTGTGAAGAACCTTCACCTTTCCTGCAAGCCAAGTGGAAAGGTCAGATGACTCAAAAAGCCTTTTCCAGCCTGACTCTAGGTAATCACCAACGCGATCCCGATCCATTGATGTACGGAGCGCAGAGCCCTAACACAGCAGTGTGGGATCCCCCCCCTACACAAACCAAGCTTCCATAGAACTTATATTCAACAGGAAGAATAACAAGGAGCTGTTAAATGAACCGTTATTCCTGCTGGAGCACACCCTCGCATCCAAGCTCCTCGCTGGGTGCCTGAATCCGGATGGGTGGCGAGGAAGCAGTGGGAATAAGGCGTCCAGGGGGGGCTCCTCGGCAAGGCGGGAGGGTGCGTGCCTGCATCACACGCTACCAGAGCCACCATCTTATCTGGGAAGCGGGATTACTTCACCCCAGCTGCAAAGGGAGAAGCCGAGAGCGGGATTGGTTTTCCCAACCCGAGCCCCTGGAGCCGGCTGCGGGGCCGACCCTATCCCCCATTGGAGCCATGGGGTCACCCTGACAGGGACAAAGCAAACAGCCTTGGCTCCCCTATGGGAGAAGCTTTGACACCCCCCAACACACACACTTCAAATCAAAGCACTGCACTAAACAGGCAGCAAAACCCCAACCAGGGCAGCGGGAAGGAACCGGCCGGGAGTGGGGGGCTCTTCCTCAAGCCCCCTTTGGGATGGCTCCTTTGTCTGGGCACGGCCGCCACGCTCCCGCCCGCCCCTTTCCCGCACACACCACGGCATTTTTTCCAGTTACATTTTTTCCATATTAGCCCTCAGATTTCATTATCCCCCCCCCTTCCCTCCTTCCCTCCTTCCCCCCCCCCCAAAGCGAGAGCAGCAATATGTCTGATCTCATTGCCATAATAGGATCGGGAACCGGGATGTCAGTCCCGGCACAGAAAGGTGTGGGAGAAGAGAGGGTGGCTCTGCTTCCCGCAACCCGACACCATGGATAGGCCCCCTACAACCCTAAACACCCCCCCCCTGGTCTGGAAGAAGAGGAGGAAGGCCTGGACATGGCAGATCCCATGCCATGGGAAGGATTTGGGATCACCTCCTGGGAATGGGGGGGGGGGTGTAAGATGGGGGGGGATGCGTTCAGCACATCCAGGAGGGGATGTTTTATTTACAATGGAGTTTCTCCCAGGACTTTCAGGATAAATCCCACCGGATCCCCCCCCACCTGCTGCCATGCACCCCAACAGGGGCTGGGATCACTCAAAGTGCTGGCCTCAGGAAAAGGTGAAGCACTGAGGGATCAGTGGGCACTGTAGGGATGCCGGGTGCCCCATGGGACACCTGGGTATCCATGGGGTCAGCAGGCACCCCATGGGATCGTTGGACAACCTATGGGACCAAAGAGCAGGCATGGGGCTCCTGAACACGCCATGGGCTTCATGGACACCTGCGGGTCCCTGTGCTGTAAGTGGGGTCAGCAGGCACCCCACAGAGCTACACACACCCCCGAACAGCCCACACTACCCATGGGGGCAGCAGGCGTCCATAGAGCCCTATGATATCCATGTGGCCAGCAGGCACCCCATGGGACCCTACAGGAACCCATGCTAACCAAATGGGCCAGCAGGCACCCATGGGCCCTTGTGCTACCCACAGGACTCGTAGGTTACCAATGGGCCACCCCCGGCACCCCAAGCTACCCACTGGACCCCGAGGTACCCACGGGGCTCTACAACAACAGACGGGGGCCAACAGGCACCCCACAAGGCCCTGAAGCAAGGGACGCGTAGGGGCGGGCAGGGGGCGTGGCGCCGGGGTCGGCTTTTGGGGGTAAAGCAGCGTGTTTTGGGGTCGGTTCCCACCTGGTTGAGGTCCTCGTCGTTGAGCAGGTGCGACTCGCGGGGCTTGAAGCAGTTCTGGCACTTGCTCTTGTTGAAGATGTTGGCCTGGAACTTCCTGCAGGGGTTGTCCTTGGCGGCCATGGCGCGGCCCCGCGCCCGCGGCGAGCCCGCTCAGCGCCCCGCGGAGCGCCCGCCCGCCGCCGCCGCCGCGCCCATCGCCGCCCCTCGCCCGCCCTCACCGCGGGCCGCGGCCTCCGCCTGGCTGCCTACGGAGCGGCAGGGAAAACACCGACCGACACCGGCCCCGCTCAATGGAGGAGGAGGTTAAGAACCGGAGAGACCGGAGCCCGGCTCATAGGCCGCGGTGCTGCGGAGCTGGGCACTGCCGGGGTGCGGTGCAGAGGTTCCGGGATGCGGGGCCGCGCTGCTGCTGCTGCTGCTGCCGCTGGGGGGGATCCCGAGGGCTCCCGCAGGGTGCTCGGTGCTGCGGGAGCCGCCACCGACTGCGCCGCCCGCAAAGTTTCCAGCGTCGCGGAGCCAGGCGGAAAGGAGGGCGGCGCCTCAGCGCTGAGGGGCAGCCCCGCTGACCAATAGAAACGGGGCTACGACGCTAACAAAAGCGCTCTCTGGCCAATGGGGTGCAAGGAGAGGGGAGGGCGCGGCGGGGCCGCTTCGGAACCGTTCGGATGGGGCGAAGGGGCGGTGCGCTGACAGCGGAGGGCGGGTTCGGCTCCGCTCGGCTCGGCTCGGCTCGGCTCGGCTCGGCTCCGCTCGGCCCCCGCGGGAGGGGTTGCGTGGGGCCCTCCGCACCCTGTCCCTGCAGTGCAGAGACCCCCCCCCAGCAGTGTGCGCCAGGCCCCCCGCACGCACTGCCCCATCGTGTTGTGACCCCTATGCCATGCACTGCTCCTCCCCGTCATACGTGAACCCCAGCACGCTGACCCCCCGCACCATACACACTGTGCACAGATCCCCCATATAGTGCGGTGACACCCCACTACACAGCCCCGTGTCATATCCCAGGACCCTCCTGGCCACCCAGCCATGGGGTGCAATGTGTGGGGCTTGCACCCCCAGAACCATCCCTCCAATAGAGGGGTGCTCTGGGGTGCAGCCTCCAAGGCCAGCTCACGCTGTGCTTGGGCAATGCATTCAAGACCAGGCTGGATGTGGTTCTGGGCAACCTGCTCCAGGGGAAGGTGGCCCTGCCATTGCAGGGGCTTGGAACTGGGTGAGCTTTGAAGGTCCCTTCCAACCCAACCCATTCTACTGTGCCATGGTCCCATGGGTGGTGCAGCCCCAGGGTGCCAAACCCTTGCAGAGAGGCACTGTCCCCATCCCCTTGAGCACATGGAGGGGTTGCCCACCCATTTGAGCACCCAAATCTGGTAGGGGGGCAACGTGACCCCTCCATCTCTAGGGACCCACCTGGAATGAAGCAGGAACAGGGGAGCACGTCCTTCCCTGTCCACTGTGCCACCACCCCGGGGACCAGTGGGGAGCTCCTGTTTGCCCAGTGTGCTTTTATCTGGTGCGAACCGGCAGCACCGGCAGGTAAATACACTCAACCAGGAGATAAGGACCCAGCGCAAGGGTGCGGGCTTTGGCCTCCACGTGCCACGTCTGGTTTTACCCTCCCAGCCCAAACTCAGCACATCAACCAGATATGGACCAGAACAGGGACCTCAGAGCATCACCAGGGTAGGAGAGAGGTGGGAATGCCAACCCTGGAGCAGGGGGATGCTAAGCAGCACATCCAAAGTGCACCCCAGCCCCACACATCCTGCTGCATGGGGATGCTGCAATGGCACCCAGTGTCTCCCACTCACCCAAACATCCCCCGCCGGTATGGAACAGGGCCCTGCTTTAAGGAACAGCCTCATGGACCTTCCTGGGATACTTGGGACCAGGAAAAACCCGTTGGAGAAGAGGTGGTGGCGCGGTCCCCTCACGCCTGGCGCTGCCCCGCTGTTTGATGTGGGGCCCGGCCTCGCCACGCCGGCTCCACGCTGTCATCCCGGAGTAAATAAAGCCCAGCACAATTGCCTGCTTGTTTATTAACTTTTCCTTCATCAAAGGCTGCTTTAATCATCTCTTTCCCTCCTGCCATCGCCACTCGCAGCACGCAATGCCACGGGTTAGGATGGGACGGCTGCACCCTCATCCCGGGTGGCCCCGAGCCCATGGGATGGTCCCAGGAGGGATACACAGGGCTGGGGGTACCCTCCTGTTCGGATGGATGTTCTCTCCTTTCCCTTGATCCTGATGTTGTCAAAGCAGCACAGCCCTTCCCCAAGGAAGGGAGGATTTATCCCTCTGGGACTCACAGACCCTCGCTGTGGGTCCAGGGTTCACCTGGCACATGACTGCAGGATTCCTGCCCTGCAGAGAAAGGTGGGAAGTTTTCCCAACCATTCTCCTGCCAGGATCTCCCTTTCTTCCCTCCCTCCCTCCATCCCTGTTGTTGGATTCTTCCCTACCACATCCCTTACTGATGCCCTGCATCCCACGCGTCCCAGAGATGCTTTTCATCCACCAAAAAGCCCCTCTGCAACTCCATGGACACCCCTGTGTCGCATCCTCATGGTCCCCAGCTCTTTGCCACTTCCTTGGGGCAGCGGCATGGTACCCATGGCTGATGCAAGGTCAGCTGCACACAGCATCCTCCTGCGCTGCCCAAGTGAGGCAGGATGTGCCTCTAAAAGCACTTTAAGTGAGGAGCAGGAGGAGAGGGAATGGGGATAACCAGTGCAAGTCCCCCCCTACTGATGTGCACAGAGAAGGGGCAAGGACCCCACAGGTTTGGGGGGGTCCCTCTTGGAGCAATGGGGCTGTTCTTTCCCCACCACAGAGCATGGAGCAGGGGGGCCAAGGGCTGGTGTCTCCCATGCCCTAAGCTGCAGCCAAGCTGCACCATGGCTTGGGGCCATGACCTGGCGCCACGCACGGCCCCGCCGGAGCCGGCAGCTCCTCTCGGGAAGCGGCTCCAGCCTCTCCAAGAATCCAGCGGAACGGGACAGGCCTCTCCACAAACCTGCCGGGCTGCATTCACTGTGTGCAGCTCATGGGGATGCCAAAACCTCTCCCCCTTGCATGGGCCGTGGCGTAGCCGCAGAGGTCCCCTATGAGTCCCCACCATGGGGACACCCGGATGGGGTATCTGTGCCTAACAGGTTCAGCTCAGAGCCGGGATGCTTGGTTTCCTCAAATGAGGGTGATTAAAAGGATGGGGAAATGGAAGTGTTTGGCAGGGAGCTGCAGTGGAAGGCGCTGAAGTGAGTCAGGGATCCAAACCGGAGCCCCAGCGCCAGGTAAACAGCCTGCAAACCCGTGTTAGTCACTGGTTCTGGCTCTGCTGGGAAAGGGCATCGCAAAAACCCCCTGCTCCAGGCAGCTCCCACTCCCTATCCCAGCAGGGCAGTGCTGCCAGGACCATCCACCACCTCCTCCTGCGATAGAATCATAGCATCAAGGAATGGGTTGGGTTGAAGGGACCTTAAAGCTCATCCAGTTCCAACCCTCTGCCATAGGCACCTTCCATTGGAGCAGCTTGCTCCAAGCCCCTGGCCTTGAGCACTGCCAGGGATGGAGCATCCATAGGGATGCGGTACATGTGGCCGTGCCTTGTTTTGCAGCCGGGTGCTCTCCCACAGGACCTTGGGCAACTCATTTCATGTCTCTGTGCCGCCACCTCGCTGTCATTACGGTGGAGCCAGACGGGTGGATGCCCAGGGGAGAGGGCAGGATCCCAGCCGAGCCCTGGCATCCCCAATGGATCCAGGCTGGGACTGAGCGGCGCCTGCGACGCCTCCCCTCCTCCTGCCCCTGCACCCAGTGCACTCAAAGCCATAGGGGCTGGATGCGGCCCCTGAAGCAAACCAGGCTGGTTGGGGGGGTTCCACAGCCCACTTTAACCCAGTTCAGACCAGCTGAGCCCTCTCCAGACCAGTTTAGCCCAGCCTAGCCCGCTTTAGCCCAATTCAGACCAGTTTAACCCAGTTCACACCAGTAAAGCCCAGCCTAGCCTAGACCAGATCAGCCCCGTTTAGCCCAGTTCAAACCTCCCCAGACCAATTTAGCACAGTTCAGCAGGGTTTAGCCCAAGTCAGAACCATCCAGCACACCTTAGCACTCTTGAGCCCTGTTTTAGCCCACTCCAGCCCACTTTAACCCACCGCAACCCAGTTTAGCTCAGTCCAGCCCAGATTAGCCCAGTTCAATTTATCCCAGTTCACACCAGTAAAGCCCAGCCCAGCCCAGTTTTGACCAATTCAGACCTATCCAGATCCATTGAGCACAGCTCAGCAGGGTTTAGCCCAACTCAGAACCATCCAGCACACCTTAGCCCTCTTCAGCCCACTTTAGTGCACTTCCGCCCACTTCAGCCTAGTTTAACCCAGTTTACACCACTTCAGCCTGCTTTAGCCCAATTCACATCCATTTTAGCACAGTTAACCCCAATTTAGCCCACTCCAGGCCACTTTAGCCCAGTTTAGCCCTTCCCACCCCAACACACCCCTCTTCAGGCCAGCTCACACCAGCCCACTTTAGCCCAGTCCCGCCTATCCCAGCCCAGTTTAACCCAGTTCAGCCCAGTTTACAGCCCAGCCCACTCCAGCTCAGCCCAGACAAGTTTAGTCCACTTAGGCCCACTTGAGCACAATTCAGCCTGGTTTAGCTCAGCCCAGCCAAGACCTGATCAGCCAATTCAAGCCCAGTGCAGCCCAGTTCAGCCCAGCCCATCAAAATTTAGTTCAATTCATCCCAATCCAGCCCCATTTAGACAATCTCAGATCTTTCCAGCCCCGTTCAGCCCACTTTAGCCCAGTTTAACCCACTTCAGCCCACTTTAGCCCTGTTCAGACCAGCCCAACCCATTTTAGCCCAGTTTAGCCTGGTTTAGCCCAGTTCAGGCCAGCCCAGTCTCCTTTAGAATAGTTCAGCACTGTTTAGCCTTGTCCACCCCACTTCAGCCCACTGAAGCATAGTATGGCCCAATTCACACCAGTCCAGACCAGTCCATCTTAGCCCACCAAGTTTAGCCAATTCAGCCCAGTTTAGCCCACTTCAGACCACTTTAGCCTGGTTTAACCCAGTTTACCCCAGTTCAACCCAGTCCAGCACAGTTTAGCCCACCCAAGCAGAGCCCAGCTCAGTTTTAGCCCACTTCAGCCCACTTTAGCCCTGTTCACACCAGT